GAGATCTAATGTATGGTGTAATAATTATAAGGGACAAGGTCATTTTGATACGGAATGTCCATCATCTAGACAAATGGATGTTTAATATACATTTTGTGGAGGAAAGCACCCTATCCAAAACTGTTGACATTTACAAAGGCAACAATAGTTCAATAACCAGACATTAATACAACCAACTCAATAGGATGTTAATCAAGTACAGATTGGAAATATGGATGGTTGGAATAGTAAACGTCCAAATCGACCTAATCCTGGCTTTGGAATTTTTAAAATACTAATTATAATCCACTTTATGGAACAAATATGCAGAATGGTGGAAATAATTGAGGGAATAATCTCCAAACTATATTGATTCAGGAGTCCAATTCTCGACTAATAGCAACCAATCAACTAGGATCATTTACTATGGCTACCTGGAATCAGCCTAGTAGATATATTCATGTAGAGACTCCAAGTATACATGACAGTATAGGCCAAAAACCACTATGTTGCTATTGGTGCCAGTAAATTTGTCATTATGCCAATGAATATCCTAATCCAAGGTTTATAGATGAATATACTGTAATATGTCAAAATTGCAAGTAATCAAGTTATTTTTATTATCAATGTAATATTCTATTTAATCCTAATAATTATGATCAGAAGATACAATCGACTGTGTAAATTACAGAGGAAAAAAATAACGGGACACAAAAATCATTAGTTCATTGAATAGAAGTAGTCCAAGCTGTCCTTAAAAGAAGTCAACAAAAAGAGAAAAGACCAATTCAACATTTGGGTGATCTTGAAGCGAAGGACCAATTGGATCCAATTACGGGGCCATCCAATCCAGGTCCTGACATGTGCTCTTTACTTAGCATAAGACCTGAATTGATTGTGCATCCTAATGAGGTACCGATTACAAAAGCTTCGGTTCCCTTTCAAGCTATTCTGTTCTCTATAAAATTTCAAGAAATATCCTTTCTATTGAAAGATCTTCTCAGAGGCATGAATTCCAAGGAACCAATATCAACCCAATTGGTAGAACAATCTTATCCGTTGAAAGAATCAATTTTATAAGCTCCATCAAATTTAGTTCCAGTAGCTTTATCAATTTCTAACATAGAAAAAACCAATTTACTTGCATCAGTGTCTAGGATTAGGAAGAAGAAACAGACATTGGGAATTATCACTAATATAGAACCATATGATATTCTAAAAGATTTGGGCACCATATAGCCCACGATCTCTATGAAGCAACTATTGGTGGTAGCATCTAAGTGCCGAACTATCTTGAATTCCTCATTAATTTGTCGCAGTTCTCAAAATAAAAAAATCAAAGAAGTAAGTTTGAATCTCGATCCGGGTGCACTAACGATTGATGTTTCAATTGATGGAGTATTAGTATCAAGAGTGCAAGTAGACAGAGGATCTAGTATAAATCTTATGTATGCCACTACAAAGGAGGAGTTGGATTTGGATCAATTATTGCCTACTATAGTAGTTTTGAAAATGGTTGACTCTAGTCAAGTTAAACCTATGGATATTTTACGAAGTATTGATACAATAATTATGGAAATTACCTACAAAATTGATTATATTGTTTTCCAATTATAAAACTCTATATTATCATATCCAATTTTATTGGAGCGACCGTGGTTGTATCAAGCTAAAGTTCAAAATGACTGGGGAAGTAGTACATTGATAATTAGGGAAGGTAATAATAAAATTGTGCTTCAAATGTACCTTGTCCAATATCATGGAAAAACTCAATTTTTTAGTTCATAATTCACGTCGGATTGTTAAGATGAGTCTACAGAAGAAGAAATTGGTATACTTGACCCAATTTATGTTGATACAAGGCAAGTTGTCGAGCATATTAGAATGAATTATGAGTGTAGAAGATCAAGAGAGTACTTAGTTCCTCTAGATGTTATTGACGATTCTGATCATATGATTGCATATTGGATTAATAGATAAGATATTAATATCGTTAGTACTATGGAATTAGAGTTAAAAAGTTCTAATTTGTCAGATTTTATAAAATATTTTGGAATTGAGCAGAATATTATTTCAGAGACTCCTAAAATTCCATGATGTCAACCAATTAATTTAGATACAAGGGAGGCTTTCCAAATCATTCAGATTTATGACGGTATAAAATGCAAGAATAAAGAAATTTGGATGGATTACTTCTTAACACATAAAATTGCTTTTGCATGGTTGTATGTAGATTTAAAAAGAATTCCAGTTGAAGTTTGTGAGCATCGAATTATATTGGAGGAGAACGCTACACCAATACACCAAAGATAACATCGACTTAATTCAAAATACTTACTTATGGTAAAAGAAGAACTAGATAAACTCTTGGAGATTGGATTTATCTATCCAGTTCCTTTCAGTGAATGGATTTTACCAATTGTTATGGTATCGAAAAAGAATGGAAAACTTCGCATCTATCAAGATTTTTGCAAATTAAATGTGGCTATTAAGAAGAATTATTTTTCTTTACCATTCACGGATAGTATATTGGATACTGTCACTGGACATGAATGTTATTCATTTCTTGATGGATTCTTCCATTATAATCAAGTTAAAATTACAAAAGAAGACTAGTTAAAAACTACTTTTATTATGGATTGGGGGACCTTTGCCTATAAGGTTATACCATTTGGACTTTATAATGCATCAGCTACATTTCAAAGGGTAATGGTGCAAGTATTCCAAGATTATCTACGAATTTCAATGGAAATATTTCTAGATGATTTCTGTACATTTAGTACGAGAGCCAAGCATTTAGAATATCTAGATCAATATTTGAATCAATGTGCCAAATATAGAATTTTCTTAAATTTAAAAAAGTACCAATTTGGTGTGTCTTCTATTAAACTCTTGGATCATATAGTTTCAATGGCACGCATTGCTACAAATTCAGATAAAATAAAGATTATAGTAGAATAAAAGCAACCAGACACTATTATGGGTGTTCGAGCATTTGTCGGCCATGTCATTTATTATCGGTGATTTATCTATTCATAATTATATGCCTTCCTTTGACAAATCTCTTGAAGAAACTACCAATCGATGGGACCAGTCCAGTTTGGACAAATGAATGTACAATTGCATTCGAAACATTGAAACAAAAATTAGTTTCAACACCAATATTGGTGGCACCTTGTTGGACAAAACCATTCCAAGTTTATGTGGATGCATCTAATGTCGCGATTGGTTCTCTGTTAAGCCAAAAAAATGACTAGGATTTTGATCACCGTATTTATTGTACAAGTCGTCAATTGGTAGCAGCTGAAAGAAATTATACAATAACCAAAAGAGAAGCATTGGAGATGATTTATTCCATACAAAAGTTTTGACATTATCTTCTTGGTTATAAATTTTTTTTCTATGTCGACCATGATGCTTTAAAATATATGATTAATAAGCCTCAATTGAATGGTCGTATTGCATCATGGGTTCTACTCTTGCAAGAATTTGACTTTACTATTCAAGTAAGACCAAGAAAATCACATTCCAATGCTAACCATTTATCTCGATTATCCAATATATTGGGTAATGAACCCATTAACAATGCACTACCCAATGCAAAACTATTTGTGATAGATATAATTACTCCGGAGTATAGTGAAATAATTCAATACTTGACATTTCAAACCTTCCCACCTAATTTCAATGAAAAGCTTAAATGATGCTTAATATTAAAATGTGCACCTTATACGATGATTGGTGAAGCTTTGTATAAACAAAGCAAGGATGGAGTTTTACGACGCTGTATTTATCAGACTGAAGTGAATAATATATTGGAAGATTGCCACTTGGACAATTATTGTGGATATTTTGTAGGGGACACCATGGCTCGTAAATCTTTACAAGCTGGTTATTGGTGGCCAACAATATTTACAGATGCCCACCAATTTGTCCGTCATTGTGACCCATGTCATAGAACGGGTCGACCTACTACAACTTCAGCAATGCTATTGGTACCAATTCTGGCTCAAGTGCCTTTTGAAAAATAGAGAATTGATTTTGTGGGACCAATTGCACCAACCTTGAGAAATGGACAAAAACGATATATACTGGTAGCAACGGATTACGTAACAAAATGGACTGAAGCCGTAGCTATGAAAACCAATAGTACAAGTACAGTAGCAACCATTTTGTATAAAAATATTATTATACGGTTCGGTTGTCCATGAAAATTCTTTAATGATCGAGAAACTCATTTTATAAATAATACAATCAAAGTACTTATGGCTAAATACGAGATAAGACATCTTAAGATTACACCGTATTATCCTAGAGCCAATGGACAAACGAAAAAGACTAATGGAATTTTATGTAAAATCTTAACAAAAACAGTTTGAGGAGCAGGAATAAATTGGGACACCAAGATGTTCGCAGCTTTATGGGTATACCGTACTGCATATAAAGTTACTACAAATGCTAATGACATGGGCCATATCAAGTTATTGACAGATTTCCAAATGGTTTAGTACAATTGAAAGATTTCATAGATACTAAATTTATAACACGGATCAATGGCAATCGGCTTAAACTTTATTATACATAAATCCAGGACGGATTTTCTATTACAAAAGGGAGAGTTGATCCAATTGATTAGACCATAGAAAGAAGTAGGAGAGAGGCTCTTGACAAGCATCGTGTTTTTTTTTTGTATAAACAGCCATGTATGTTTGTTTTGAGAGATTAGTTGTGAGTGCTTGCTTGTGTTAGAATACAATGGTGAGAAGACTAAGAGGTAGTTGAATAGGGAGGAGAAACAACATAATTTAAAATGCAAAGATGAATTGCCACCATTGGAGTGTATTATTGTGACTAATATAGAGCCGATCTGATTGGATGTTTGTTGGACTAAGGAGAAGCAGCAGGATTTTTGAGGAGCGCATAGGCATAGGTTTTTACACATTTCACATAACTTATAACCAATTGACGTTGCGCTGGTAGAGGTTAGGGTTAAGGAAAAGTGCATGGCAGAAAAAGAGAAGATGGCGAACATGATATCTGAGAAAGCAAGGATGGAGAACAATTGGAAGGAACGACAAGAGCGACTGCAAGTAGAGGTTGTGATGTTGCAGACTAAACTAGTCGCATTAGAGAAGGAGGCCAATAATTTAGTATGGACGAATACGCCAGTTTCAGTGACAACACCTTTGGAGATACCTTTGAAACCGACAGAAGAATGGCAGAAGATGTTGGAAGAGCGTGATAACCAAATTGCCATCTTGAGTCTCAAGTATGGGAATTAGGTTTGATGAATGAAGATTTGACAATGTGTTTGGATGGACAACCATCAAACACCGAGGCAGACGACGAAGATGTAGCAGAGAAGAAGGTCACCAATTCAAAGGGTGGTAAGCCAATGCCATTGACTGAAGAAACCAATGCTGCTACGTTTTTATAAGTTGAGGCTAAATAATGTTTGTGAGGGTGCTGCACAATTAGGAGTGGAGCTATGTAGAATATGTAAATAAATTTTGTAATAAGTTACTAGTTGATTATTGACAACCTTGAGAATTAGACTTATAATTAGGTAATTTAGTTGATAACACTAAGTTGTTAATAAAATAAATGGTTAAGAATTCAAAGATTCATAACTTTTGGAATTTGTTGACCAACGGTCCATCATTTGGTAGGATAAAGAGGTTGGAAAAAGGGAGATCCGGGCCAGACTGTGAAAGTCATAAGCCGGGGTAAGCTTGGGGCTACTTCTTTCTTTTATTTGTTTTTATTATTTGCTTATGAATAATTGTGTTTGAAAGAAGTATTGTTGAAATTGTGATTAGAATATTGTAGAATATGACTTTGGACTGACCATTTTGAAAAAAATCTGTGACCTTGAGAATTGAGATTATTGAATTGTGTTGTATTAAGTGAAGATATTGAATTTTTTGTGATGAATTGAGAAACTGAATATAATAAGTAAGCTGGAGATCAATAATTGAATGTATATAAACTGCTATCGTAATACGTGAAGTCTTGCTTGAGAATACTCTGGGCACCTGGCTAAGGAAGGAAGAATAGAAATTACAATAACAAAATCTTAATTCTAATAGAATACTAACAATGCTCTAATTAGACCATAATAATACTAATCAAGCTTAATCAAATTCAAAAAAACCTCAAGAAATTTCAAACAAACAATAAGAATTCTTAAAAAAATATTAGAAAGATCACAAATATCACTCAAATACATCTCAATTCAATCTTAATTTAATTCTAGTTAAAATCCTATTGAACTTCATTCAAACTTTAGGCCAAATCTAATTAAATCTTAAATCCTAATAAAATCCTAAACTCTAAATCAAACCCTAAATAAACCTTAAACCAAACCTTAATTAAATCCTAACCAAATCCTAAACCAAATCCTAAATCCTAAATCAAATCTTAACCAAATCCTAATCCAAATCCTAAACCCTAAACCAAACCCTAGTAATTCCTACAATAGATTTAAACCTCAATAACTAATGAATAAACCATCGATCTTAACTCAAATATTGCACACTTCTAAAAAAATAAATTAAAAATAAGCACAAAAAAATTAAAAAGGATCGGAGTTACCAAATTGATGATAACCTCATAAATGTGCTCGGATATTGGCTAGCCTCCTTCTCCAATCTTGATGCCAATCGTCCAGAGCTAATATCTCTCTTTTCTACCATTCGATTAATTTCAAAATTCTCATGCACATAGGAAAATAAGTCTAATATCCTCTCATATAAGTTTCACTCCAATCTAAGTAATAGATTGCAAAAAAACTTAAAAACCCTCACTAGACCTAAAATTCTACTTTTTAAGACCTTGACCCACCTAAACCTTAATATCCTTCAATTCAATTATTAGATCAAGCTTAAATTTACAAAAAATATTGAAAAAAACTATAAACATAAATCTACAAAATTTCACCCATAGATCTACTACAAAACTCTCGAAATCACCTAAAACATAAACCCTATTTTATTTCATAAAACTCAAGACTTCTGAAACAAACCTTGAATTTGAGAAGCTCTTACAAAGTCATAACAACTCCAAATCACCTAAAATCAATGCCCATAGAAATCCTATCCAATCTTCTATCAAACACCATTCTCCAATCTGCCAAAGAGTCCCAAAGTCGTTATCGAGACTCAGTTTTGTGCCTCAGGGTCTGATTTCGATCCTGGTTCATAACTGGCCCTCTCCGGGTATCAACATCTAGTTGTTTTAAGTAATTTTTACTAGAATTTATTCTTAACTTCGTCCTAAAGATGTTTATATCATATATTTTTTCAATCTACTTTATTTTGCCTTATTTTTGGTCCTTCAAAGTAAGTAGAAGCTATTTTTTTCTAAAAGGGTAGCATTACTACTAAAAGTTTTACTACCTTCCTATCTTTTATCCATATTTTTCTACCTTTTTTTTTTAACTTGGCTCTTCTATAATAAGATCCATATTATCATCTTTCATCATATAGTCATGTTATAATACGACCCCGCAAAGAGAGTAAGTGGGAGATGAACTAATAAGAATATGGAAGTATTATTGAATTGATATTCATAGAATGGATTATGTGTTGAATTAATACAGAAGTAGTAAGCCTCGATGTTTTGTAGTTTGATAATTGATTTCAGATAGCTAGAGTATAGTCAATTGTGACACTAACAAACCCAATTCATATAACCAGTCTTTTCCCGTATTCAAATCCACTTCTATTAGTTCAATTGCTTTGAAATATTGAAGCTTGAATACAACGAGAAGAACATTTTGGCACCGCTGCCAAGGAAATAATAACAATATGAAATGTTAAAAATTGATTGTATGGGAGATGGAATTATATGTTGAATGAGAACATGAGAAAAAATAGTTTTAGGTTTACAAATATGTGAGTTATAATTCAAGAAAGTATTAATTTTGTAAAGAAGAATGAAAGATCATGAGTGATAATCATGAAAGGAAGGATTATCAAAGAATTAATCGATAAGCAAAAGAAAGACAAGAGTGATTATGCATAAGAAATCTCCTATGAGAATGACAAAAAGGAATTGTAGGTCCAAGTAAAACCAAAGGAAGAAAAATTCAAATTCAAATAGCAAAGAGACAAGTGATAACACCAATGGCCACAGGAGTGCCAAAAATACCAATTGTAGTATAAATGGGAGCAGTAGGAGACCGCACTACAAGTGTGGTACCATTACCTACTTTTAGTGGTTGTCCGAATTTTGATCCCGATCACCATATATCTCAATTTTTGATAGCATGTATGGCTAATAATGGTAGAATTGAAGATATTTGGTTGAGATGGTTGGCAACAACTTTAAAAGATACAACTTTTGAATGGTATAATCGGTAATCAATGGGTAGATTTCTTAATTGAGAAGCCTTGAGGAATACCTTCCTAACTCATTTTAGACCAATTGGATTTGAAGATGGATTTAAAAAAAGTTTTATGAATAACAAGATGTTTGAGGAGAAATCAGTAGAGTCTTATTATGGTCGGGTCACGGATATACTTCGTAAATGGCCAAATAATCAAATGCCAGATGCATTTATATTGTCGATATTAATCAATGGTTTGCATCCACTAGAATTGAAAATATTTGTAAAAGAGGCTCGATTAGCTACTGTAGAGGCATCGTTGGTAAGAAAAAAGGTGTGTGAAGAATGTCATTATGAACAATTATTAACAGTGGGAGCCACGATGATTCTAAGTTCAGGAAGCCAACAAATACAACCCGGAAATTCAACTGTAAATTCACTCTCAAACTTTTGGCATCTAAGAAATCCTAGCACATGCTCTAAACCCTAATTTACAAGCACCTAAGCACTATTTTCTTTATATCTCAAGAATCCTATATTCAAATGTCATCAAACTTATATACAAAGTTTATTTACATGAAATTATATAATTTCTAAAATTTTGAGCCAAAACCTTATCAAATTGTTCATGATAAAGTTCAAGATACAACCACTAATACATCGGGTTACTTTCTACCCTTAGATTGCATATACTGACTTCAAAATCCAATAATTCCTTCATCCCAACTTGGAATCTAGCAAGTTGCATGCATAATGTATAGCCGCAAAAGTGCTCTTTCTAGTTGCAGTTGCCGATCTTCAATTGCCTTATGTATGTGTGCGTTATGTCAAAAAGAGTGATAGTAGCTCCCAAATCAACACCTTAACTTTGAGCACCTATATCTCTTTCAAATAAACTCCAATCTATATAAGATTTGTACCAAAATCATAGTCAATAATCTAAAATTACTGATCCTAGCCTTCAAAGCTCGAATGGCCATGAAAAACTAACTCTAATCCCTAATATGGCCTCAGGCAGCCTCCTCAAAGTCCATTGGTGATGATTTTTGATCAATAGGAATGGAGATTTTCATCAACCATTTCCATTCATCTATATTGATGCCCTCATTATTCCCTTTGCTACCAAAATCCTTCTTCAATCCTTTTTTTTTATAAGATTTACATAATTTATGTTCTAAACACTAAATAAGAGAATCAAAATAAGTTTTTAAAGGTCACCAATGTCTAACAAAGGTGACTCTAAATATTTAGAAGTTACTATCAATCAAAACCAATCTTAAAAGCCACTATCAAAAAAAAATTAAAGTTATACAAATTCTATAATAATCTTTTTAAACAATCTCTTCTTAAAATAATAATCAAATTATATTCTTCAACCAACTTAAATCTATTAACATAGCTCTCACCATATTACTTAATAAATTATATATTAAATACATAATTACATTATTTTCATATAGTGGCCAAATAACAACATGACACTGTGTATACGGATCACAAGAACCTCAAGTATTTCATGTCAACTTGTATTTTAAATCATTGCCTAGCTCGTTGGAGCATGTCTTTGTTAAGATTTGAGTTCAATATTACTTATTAGCAAAAAAAATTACCAGATTTGTCCAATGTCCTTTTTAGACATTCTTATCTTATACTTAAAGAAAGAGATGCAACTTTTAATCAATAAAAGATAATTTTATTGAAGTCAGAATAATTTCATCTTTGAGCAATGAAATCAAAATTGATTGTTGATTTAGCTTTTTTTAAACA